TGATCCCAGGGGATGCACTGGGAGCTCCAGCCCCGCATCCCATGACAGCACCTGCCCCTCTCCTCCCGCCACACCCCAAACCGCCCTGAGAGATGGAGGCGAAAGCGGCCGCTTTGTTTCCCTTCGTCCTTAAACCACAGAACTGTTTGGGCTGGGAGGATCTTTAATGTCCTCCCACTAAACCAGCCCCATCCAAGCCGGCCTTGATCCCTTCCAGGGAGGGGATGTCCCCAGCTTCTCCGCACAGTCTCTTCCTGCGCCTCACCGCCGTCACAGCGAGGAATTTCTTCCCAATATCCAAGCTGAACCCGTTCCCGTTTAGCGCCGCCCCGTGAGGCGGCACCGTCTCCGCGCTCCGTCCGGCCGCGCTTTGTCCCCCCGCGCTCGCCGTAGCGGCCGCGCCGCAGCCGCCATGGCGGCCGCCTGTGGGAGGCTGGTGCCGAGGGGCGCCGCCATCGCCCTGCCCCACCGTGAGCACTGCCCGGGCCCTCGCCCCCCGGCACCCCCGGGCCTCCCCCCTGCCCGGCATCCTCCTCCTGCCCTCCCTGGCCCACAGAGCGGGGGGGAGGAGGCTGCCGCCATCCCTGGCCTGGCCGGCGGGTTGTGGTGCCATGTCCTGCTTTGGTTGGGGCGGTTCAGCTTGAAATTACGGGTGTTTTAAACGTTGTTTTGTATTATACAGGGTGTTTTTCTTTATCGGGGTATCGAGTGAGCAGCGATGGAAAGCCACCGAAATTCCAGCCGCCTCCGAAGCCCATCATTATTGACAGGAAGACGCAGAAGGAGGAGAGGAGGTGAGGGGAGTCCCACTGCTCACCTGAGCTTGTAGAGCCTCACCTGGGCTGTGCTCGGGCTGGTCACTGTGTGAGCACTTACTTGAAGAGTCAACGCAAAAAAAAAACAAAAAAAAACAAAAAAAAAAACAAAAAAAAAAACAAACAAAAAAAAACAAACCCCAATACAATTTGTAAAATTCTAGCAAAGACCATTTGTGTTGAAATATGTTCAAAACACCCTAAAATACGGTATCTGGAGTTTCTGAAAGCAATAAAACATGAAAAAAATGTAGAGCAGTAAATACTTTTAAAATTTCAGGTTAATGTGGGAGATTATGTTTGTTAAATGCATCTCTCTAGTTAAAGGCATCTCTTCAGAGTGCCGGGGTGACAGGGACACAGGTCCTGTGTCTGCCTTGGACCTTCAGGCCAGTTGTGAGCACATGCATGACTGGCTGGGACACGGACTTGATGTCTCTGGTAGCCTTCATGAGATGTCTCATTCTGGGAATTTTTGGTCTCACCTCAACTCATTTCATGGAATCACAGAATGGTCTGGGTTGGAAGGGACCTAAAGATCATCTTGTTCCAACCCCCCTTCCACTAGACCAGATTGCTCCAAGTCCCATCCAGCCTGTTTGTGAATGCTTCCAGGATTGGGGTATCCATAACCTCCCAGGGTTTTAAACCAAATTTTTACTGCTTTAAATGACCATTGGTTCAAACTGCATGTTGTGTTTGGAAAAAGAGTGGTGGTCTTGTACTGTTCATCTGCCCCCTGCAAAAAACCTCAGTTTAAGATGCATCTGTACAACTGAATTGAGTCCACTTTCATCCATCCACTCTGAGGCCCAGTGGTGTTGCCATCCAAACCAGAGTGAGCACATCTAAATATCTGTTGGAAATGCTTCTCAGCTCAAGCCAATGCATGTCAGGAAGTGTGCACTCAACTCAGAAGTCAGATAACTGAAGTCCAGGCCATGGGGAAATTCTTCAGCATGGTTTAATTTTTTTTTAGCAGAAAATAGTTTTACCAGTCCATTTAAGCTTCTGTAACACAAAAGGATATTTATGTGGTGTGTCCTGTAGAATCAATTTGTGAAAACTGTAATAAATTCTTCCATATCTGTTATTATACAGTCAACAAATAATAAGTGTTCTGTCATGGGGATTACAATTAAACCATGAAATAACCTTTCTAAGCTGTGACAGCACTAACTGAACTATCCTCTTTCAGTCAGCTCCTCTGAAACCAACACGTATTACTGATTTGGGGAAAAGTGTTTAAAAGAACAACAAAAAAACCCCAACAAAAAAGCCACATAAATACCCCAAACCAACATCAAAACCCCACAAAAATTCCTTCTGGATAACAAAAAACAATAATTAAATAAAATTGATGACTTCATAGACTGTAGTTCATATGTCTGAAAAAGCAACAGCTGATAATTTTTAAGCCAAATTTTTGGACTTGTATTTTTATGCAAATGTTTTTGTTTCATACTTTTAAAAGTTTGGCTTTTCTTACAGGTTCCTGAGCCCTGAATTTATACCTCCCAGAGGGAGAACAGATCCTCTTAAGTACTATATAGAAAGGAAGGATATGATACAGAGAAGAAAAGTGTTCAGCATCCCAGAATTCTATGTTGGTCAGTATTAGCACTAAAACTTTTATAATTCTGTCAGTATTTTGCATTGCGTGGGGTGTTAGAAAGTGTGGTCATATGTAGAATAGCATAAAACATAAAGTCTCAGGTGTATTAGATCGACTAGGACGTGTTTCTGTACATAATACTCCGTATTTTAATCTCATATTTACATCCTGAGTCATTAAAAGAGTAATCCTAACGCATTCCCTATGTGATTTTTTTTCAATCCTGGCACTTGAGCACATGGTTTACCAGTAGAGCTAAAGAAAAAAAATATGTTCGATTAATTATATTCAATTTGGATAGGGAAGAGCAAAAAAATAATGTTGAAGAAAGTTTGCAGTTAACCTTCAGTACCATTTCAACCTGTGTTGAATTCAGGTCACATTAGCAGTTTTTTCTGTTTCTGGCAGTTTTGATGGGAAACGGAAATATTTTCAAAATGCACCAGAATAGATGCACTTTGCTTGACTCTTTCCACATTTTGGTACATATTAACTGGGACAGGCTGTTTATTTTAATCCATTTTTTTTGGCAGGCAGTGTACTCGCTGTGACAACTGCAGATCCCTATGCCAGTGACAAATCCAAACGGTTTGTTGGGATCTGCATCCAGAGGGGAGGCAAAGGACTCGGCGCTACTTTTGTCCTTCGGAATGTCATTGAAGACCAAGGTGGGGATTCAGCTGTGCTAATTATGCTGCAAGTGTTCAGCAAAAAATGAGTTATGCTGTAGAAATTTAGTCTGTGGGAAGGAAAACAGCAGATTGAAGTGAAAGCATGAGTCTGTCTGTTAGAGTACTGTGCAAATTTAAAACTGTGCACACAGAAATGTTGATGTGCTCTCTACTTGAAGGCACAGAACTGCACAGTAATTTTTAGACATTCTGTGATGGTTGTGCTTATGTCTGAGCCTGTGCTGTCTATTGCCAGCCCAGTTTGAGCACTGTGTGTTTTCATGAACTGGGGATGTAGGTGTGAACTGCTTTAACAAGCAACAGATTATAAGAGTTTTATCACAGGTTCGTATTCTGGATTATGACAAAATCAGGGGCAGTGCAAATAGTGTCTGAGGGCAAATATGAAAGGGGTGGCTGCGTCTTCATACACACTACACCTACACTGAGATGCATAAATAACAGCCATTGTAACCAAAAGGAAATAAAGTTTAAAACCCAAACTCATCTTCCTTAAATTCAAGCCATTCAAGTCTCTTAAGCCATGCTCTATCAAAGATTTGATTTACAAAGAAACGTGCAGACATAGTGCACGAGTACTAGCACACGTGCACACAGCACTATAGTGTTCTGAGGACTAAAAAGCAGGAATGTGTAACTGAAGCAATGCTGCTTGGGTGTTAGTATTTCTCCTGACTTTGGTTCATTAAACCAGGCTTTCTGTCTCCCAGGGGTTGAAATCTGTTATGAACTGTACAGTCCTCGAATCCAGGCGATCGAGGTGCTGAAGCTGGAGAAGAGGCTGGATGAGAACCTGATGTACCTGCGAGATGCCCTCCCCGAGTACAGCACTTTTGATGTCAATATGAAACCTGTGCCTCGTATGGAGCACGAGGAAATTCCTGTGAACAAGGTAGGAGCCACGTGCTTCAGTGGGAAAGCACAGGATTATTTACAACTTCCGTTAATGACTGTTATCCTGGCAGGCTATAGCAGCTCATTGCTACATCAGTTGCCATGGTGACCAAAGTAGGTAAAATCAGGCAAGGCTTTGTGCCATTTCTCTAAAGAAAGAATGGTGAGAAACACCTACCATCCTCTGGAGTTAATTTTTAAGACATACACAGAGGAGCAACCTCCACATTCCTCTGTAGAGCTGTGCAGAGAGGAAAGCTTTTCTGACAGGAATGTTATTGTTAATGTGGTTACTGATTCAGGAGTGGTTGGTGTCAGGAAACAAGGTAAGAAAGATGGAAGAGTCACCTAAAATCTGCATCTCAGGCAAGATCCAGAAACTACCAGACCCTGCCAGAGTGTTGTGTAGGAACTCAGTATGGTAATTCCTCCCTTTCCTTCTCATGGTACTTCTATTTTTTCTTAACAAGGAGCAAAACTACAAAAGATGAGTTAGCTTCAATTTGTGTTTCAATTAAGGACTCTCTGATAAATCAAGACAGCGTTAATTAAAAAGTTTTACAAGATACTATGATGACAATCATAAAGTAATAAACACTGACACATTGGTCAGTTTTCTCTTACTTTCCTCCTGTTAGAACAGCAGTTGTCACCTTTCTCTTAAGATCACAATCAAAAATCTAATTCCTCAATACCTTTTTATTGTTTTGGGGTTTTTTTAATTTTTTAATCTTTCACTCTAGCTTCAGGTACGAATGAAACCTAAACCATGGTCAAAACGGTGGGAAAGACCCAAATACAATATAAAAGGAATAAAGTTTGAGCTACCAGAACATAAAATGAAAGCAGCACAGAAGTGGAGCCAGCCATGGCTGGAGTTTGACATGCTGAGAGAATATGATACGTCAAAAATAGAGGCAAAGATTCGGAAAGAACTGAGTGAAGAACTTGAAAAATAATAATGTTTCTTGCAGTCTAGAATTCCTGAGAAAATTAATATTTTAGTTTACTGTATGGATGATCAATTGTCAAGTTTTGTATATACATGGGCAAAGCAAACAATAAAGTTAACCTTTCCAGATTTCAGTGTGAACAGATTTCTGTGGCTCAAGTGTCCACTGCCCTCCCAATGCTTACAGCTCATTACAAGGAATCTTTCTTCCAGAAACAAACATCTACAGAACTAAACTGTGATAGAACATCAATTACATTTTTGTCATAGCACAAGGCTGGTGCTAGAGACAAGCTGGGATGAGGCAAAGCAGAACAAGAGAAAAGCAATGAGATCATGAGCTTGTGGTGATTGCTGATCAACAGTTGCAATTTTTTTTGGCATTCTGAGAGGAAAAACAGCAGAAATTGATTATTAGAAAGCAGTATTTGCAATATAAATCCTGAAGCTACCGTGGATTAGTGGAGCTGGAGTGGGGTTTTTATCATACATCTTAATAACATTTTTGTCACATATTAAAGAATTGAACTGTAAGAGTCATTACCACAGTAAAATATTTTATTTTCAAAAAACCCCAAATTATTTTTAATCTTTTATCTGTAGTACTGATCAAACCAATTTACAATTAATGTATTTTATAAAAATATATTTTTAACTTAAAAAAATATAAAAAGAAGGCATAAGGATTAAGCCTACAATAGTTAAATTCTATTCCCAGAAGATTTTGGAGAAATAGTCACAAATATACAGATTCTGTGATGCACTACAATTTTTACAATGAAACATCCTTGTTATTCTGTAACAATATTTATTGCAAATATACAAAATTACAAAACATTAGAAATAATATAATATACAAAATTATAAAACATTAGAAATAATATAATATCCTAATAAAGATATGAAGAAGTAAAGTTTTGTAGAGCTTACTGGCAAGCAAAGGGAGTTTCCTAGAACTCCAGTTACTAGAAAGTAATTGAAGTTGTTCTGTTCTTCTCATCATCACAATGTCTGTGATGAAAATCCTGATTCCTCACCTGCACACTGACCTCCCTTGTTTCTGTATCAGGGGCATCATGAATTCCTTTTGACTAAGAATGGCTTAACAATAACCCTACCAAAATTACTGTGGACCACAAATGGCTGCTGAATCAGAATGGTATTTAGCAATTAATACTGAAAATAACTTGTCAAGTTATCTACTGGCAAGCAGTGATGAAGTTCACAGGCCCTTTCTGTTTGCAGGATTCTTTCCCTACAGCAGTAAAGCACTGTCACACATTTTAGAATGCCTGAACCATTGCTTTGACAACTGAACTTCTAAATACTCCCTAATCTAGGAGTAAAAGACATTTGGAAAAAACACCTCATGTATTTAACACTAAGACAGTGATTACCACTACCTGGAGTAGGCAGGATCCACTAATTAAACTTCGTATTAGAATTGGTTTAGTGTGACTACCAGGCTTGTTCCAGTAATGTAAGCATTTCTTCAAAGATTTCTATTTCCCAATCATTACTTTAAGGTGTTCAAGTTTATGCTCTTCAATGAAGTCTTTTACAATATGCAGAGCTCCAATTTTCACCAGCAGGAGAAGAACTTCTTTTATTTCATCACTATTTAATAAAAAAAGAAAAAAAAACATAGCAGTGATAGCAATTGAGAGACTTTTATGAACCTATCTAAAGCATCATTTTTGTTTCACGGCCTTGGCTACTCTGATCATTTAACAGCACCCAAGGTCAACCACCTCAAACTCTCACAGTAAGGACTGCTCAAGTGCTCCTTCACATCAGACTCCATCTTTTCTTTTACACAGATAAGATATTTACATGACATGAGCATACTTGAAAGTGTCAAATAGATGGTATTTAAGGAATTTTAAAATATTTTAACACAAAGTATTTGGGGAAGCACTTGAATCCCAAGGACAGCCTCCTCCATTACCTGTGGTTGTCCTTGTGTAGCACACGGGCACATTGCAGCAAGTGCTGGCTGAAGTTCAGTAGTTCAGGGAGAGTTGATCCACCCTTGAGATTTTGGAACCATCTTTCTGGGAGGGATGCAACCACCTGTTCACACAGTATTTGGAAAAAGTTTAACAAGAATTTCAATATAACCAAGTCACATAATTTCTAACATTCATTCATTGATGTCCTTTTTCCTTCAAGCCAACGTGGATTATCTCTCCAAGAAGTTAAGCTTGAGAACCTACAAACCAGTATTTACTCTAAAATGCTCATATGCAGCAAGGTTGTTAAAAGAAAAAATTAAAATCAAATTTTAAATGTTTAAATTTTCTTGGTTTTAATATTCCATCTTCAGTTTTGACCCCCCTTCATGAAAAACAAAAGGCTTTTAGCATACACCCTCTTCCAATGAATATTATCTTTTACCTTATTACACTTTTCTATATTATCCGGCCCTAGTGGTGTGTTTAGGATGTTCAGGAGAAGATAACGATTCAGCAGCTTGCTCAGCCCCAAATCACGGACCTTGTCTTCCTGGACAATCCCATCCCAACGAACAACATTGGAGAGCAGCTGCAGTAATGAAGAAACAAACAATCTGTAGAGCTGCTGGCCCTAAGTGTGCTAAAACTGTTAAAAGTTTCATAAAAGAAAAACATAGAAAGGTAATATGTGCATCCAATTCAACTCCTCAAACTCTAGGATTTACACTCTCCCAACTTCCCATCAGTTAGCCACTAATGAACTGCATAGAGTAAATAACCTAATTAATTTTACAAGTGCATCTATATATATGTATAGATATACCTGGATACGTGTATATATGACCTCCCAAGGGCTGGAAGAACATTTTACCCTTCTGGGAGGTTTAACAATTTGGTAAGTACAGAAGGCAACTAAGCAAACTGTCAGAGAATCCATGACAGAAGTGAGAAAGTCACTACAACTGCTCAGGACAAGATTACACACAGTCCCTTATGACATGATGATGCTACAGTTTGTGGCATCACAAAAATTTTTTTGTAGTTCACGTCAGTATTATTAGGCACTGAGGGTTTTTTTCTTTTGCCTCTATCACTATAAATCCTTACAATTACAATCCTTAAAATTGTCATTTTTGAGGGTGGTCTAAGGCTGTGTTTGTGAAGGTGAAATACCTTGAGGTTAAGTTACCAGAAAATTAACCTGCTCTGAATGAAGGAGGAGGATAGGCAACGTGAATAGCAGGAAAGCTGGAATATTGTCTGGGATGTTAATGTTTCCAGTGAAATGAATTTCAGAAAGGCAAAACAGAATAAAACCAGCCCTATTTTCTCTACCTTAACAGCTGACCAAAACCGTCTTTCTTGAAATTTTGAACGTAGCGATGACTTGTCTTCCACAGTGCTGGTCATTTGGAAGAAAAAGTTAAAGATTATTTTTTGTTTGATTTAAAAGAAGATAAACAGACATCTGATCTCTCAGACATGGATGTCTGCAGTATTTCATCTCTATCTGTAGGGGAGAAAGGTAGAGGAACTAAAAAAAATACAAACTTAAGAGAGTCACAGGGTCAGCTTACCTTTTAGGATACAGAGGAATAAAGACATCTTCCTCTACAGATTTCTTCATTCTTAGGACAACCGTGTTCATCAAGTCCTATTAAAAAAGAATTATTAATGTGTCCTCAGAAGAAAGACTTTGTATTCCATTTGTAACAAGCTCAAAGATTATTTATATTTAGTTCATCCAGAGGTCTGATATCAGAGATAAGCACAGCTGTCATTTGTATATAACACACATTGAGATCCTGAATAGAAAAATAGGAACAGCAGACAAATCACAACAGTAATTATCTATAGGCTTAGCCTAGAGGGTTTTGCTATATCCCTAAGCTCTATCCCTAGGTGAAGCCTTTTTTTTGCACATTAATCTGCAAGGCAGCAGGAAAACTGTACAGATAAAAACCAAAATAAGTTATACATATGGGATCTCCATTAAATGTTGTTAAATTCTATGTTAGAAAAAAAATCACCTTAGCTAGGATAGTATGCATTTTTGAGCAACGTGTTTTCAGGTGCCACAGATTGCCACCTATGTTTTTTAAAGTCTATTTATTTAAGTTCTTGCTAAGATCAATTGTATCACTTGACTTCAAGCCATAGTTCCAAACAGAAAACTTTGAAAGGAATAAACATTTTCTTTAAAATATTTTTCATATTCAGGGCTCAAACATCCATCTCATTTCACCACTTAATCCATCCCATTTTCACTAGATAAACTTCCTGATTTACATCAGAGTAAAACCAGAATCAGGCTAAGAAGGGCTTCCTAGAGTGACTGTGTATATAAAACTAAGTATTAAAGGATTGCTAGGATTACACAGTAGTTTTTCTCCTCACCAATTAACCAACCTTTGGGGATTCTCAACTTTTAAAATTCTAGGCCTACTTTATAAACAAAAGCTTAAGGAATGGACCACTGAAGCATTGCTAGCATTTAAAGGTCAAATTTGGAAAGATAATTAAATGCAAACCATTGTTATTGAAGCGAAGGAAGATTAGATCTACAAACAGGTTCTGGATAGATACAGGCAGAATTTTTGTACAAACAGAAGCTAATTTCTGCCTCGTAATCTTCAACAAGGAAAGAATCAGAGAGCTGGAAGTTTAACTGTTAAATCATCTTAATATAAAGAAACAAAACAAAGAAGAAATCAGAACCAAATAACTTCAGGAGAATGTTCTCAGTGCCCATAGGAGCACATACAAAACTACACACAGTGAGTGAACTCCCCGTTCTTGGTACCACTGCTTTTACCTCTCTTGCTCGGCTGGGCTCATGTTTTGAAAGGATTTGTTTTCCAAAGATGCTATTGCAAAGCTGTACAAGGTTCTTTGTCTGTGAAGTAGATAAAGGATCCCACACACTCTTCACAAATGCTGAAAAAAATAGGAATTTATTTCATTCATAATATGCAAGTACTTATCTGCCCTATTTTCAAGCCATTACAATGTAACAGAAGTAAACATATGAAAACCTCAGCCTCTCACAATAATTTTGAAGAGGCCACCTCAGCCCCACACAATCATTCCATCTTGGAGCACTGTGGTATCACCAACGTTATTTGATATTATCATTCTTATTTCAGGTTTGATTGTGTAGCTGCAGTGAACATTTTCAGCAAAGTCTTATCATACCTGTAATTTTGGGAAGAATAGTTTTTTCAATCACTCTTGGCAAAACTTCTTTATCATGATCATCATCTCTTTTTGATTCAGATACGTTTTCTGCATCACTGAATTCTTCTATAGCTCTGAACCAGGGCATCTCTTCCAACTCTGTAAAATTCTGCTGAAAGATGACTCCTGTTAGTTGTTCAGCATTAAGAGAAAAGCTCTATCCAGTAACACCCCAAATCCCCACTTAATTTCACGTCCACCCTCATCACTGAATGCGCCAAAACAGCAAAACTAGATTTAAAGCTACAATTTAATGGGTGGGATTATTCAAGTGTCTTCAAAGAATCCAGGAGAAGAACTGTTTTTACAGGAGGTGTGGCAAAAAGAAAGGGGAAAGTTAAGAAGATTGCACAACATGCTTCAGCTTCTGAGAAAAAACAGTAGCTTTCTTAATTTCTAATACACAGTGCTATGTATAGAAAAAAATAATTTTTCATATTGATATATCATACACACACACAAAAATTTCAGCTGATGCACCCACCTCAAGAGGATTCCAACTTATTAACTGAACTCTGATCAATGGATTTAATAGCTTAGGCAGGCAGAAACTGATGTAAGCATCACAGTAAGAGTCAGGAAACTTCTCTTTCCATTCCTGGAATTTCAACAGGATTTTTCTGATGTCACAAAAATCTGCATGCACATCTTCAAAGATTTTCCTACTATCCTCTAAAACGTTATCTATGGATAATATTCATTGGAAATAAAAAGAAACAATCACAGAACTTATTGAGGCATAAGCTGAAGAGTTTATGCATCTATAGGACATAAGAGATATTTTTATGAGAATTGCATTTATTTTTGACACACCTGACACTGAAATGGTTTAAAAACTCCTCCCACAAAAACCCAGTTTCAGAAAAAAATAGTGTCAGAAGACCAAGGAAAGGCAAGTTTCTTCATGATCTCACAGATTTATACAACCACTATGTTTCAAACTTTGTTTCAGAATGATACAATTTCAGGCATGAAAACCCTTCTGCTGTTACCTGAAGAAAAGCTATTATGCCTTTCCCTCCCCCTCTTCGTCCATTCACTCAAGATAATTAAAACACCAACCTTTAATTCACTCTCCAGCTTCAGGAAATAAATTGACTGTACAAAACATGTTGCAGCACTGCACTGAGTACTGCCAGATCAGATTTGGCACAATCTGACAGAACTTACCTCTAGTTTAAAAAGCCATGTATAGTGCTGCCACCACATAACTGACACCACAAGAAATCTACAACCATTCATTCATTCTTCCCAAGTCATTAGTCACTGCCTGGGTGCATTTTTTTCTACAGTGTGCGAATAAAAACATGGAACTCAAATAAAGTATTCCTCTACTTTCCCTTAAAAAAAAAAATCACTGAAGAAATATCAACAAGAGATCTTCTAGGACACGACATTAGGACTGTCACCAACCTTTTCTCTTCTGGAACTCGTCCACCTCTGTGGGAGTCAGCTCCTCATCACTCGACAAGCCCTCGTGGTGATCTCCTTCTCCTGACTGCTCCCTCGCCTGCCGCCTGCACGTCCTGCATTTTGGAATGAACTCAGATGAGTTATCCTCTCCTGTGTGTGCACGACAAAGCTTAAAAAAAATCATCCAACTTAAAACAAGTCATGAGAACAACAGCCTAAGGAGAGGCAATGGGGGAGCAACAGTGACTGTGGAACCAAAAGGACTCCTAAACTGCAGAAAAAGGAAGAGATTTGGGCACTGACATTCAAGAGCTTAGAGCAACATCTCCAACCTCCCACGTGAGTCTGCAATAACCTTCCCTTCACCTCATCACCACTGATGAGGCAAACAACTCATCCCATCTGCAACACTGAGCATCTGGTGTTGAACGGGATCCTGCCTGACAGTTCAGTGTGTGTTTACTGAGCTCTCCCACTGTCCTATCAGTCCTGGATCACTTGTTCAATAGCATATAGGAAAAGGTGATAGCACCCATGTGCCAGTGAGGTTCTAAAAGCTATTGCTGTGGCATGAAGAAAAACAGGCTGCAAAATCAATGGTTTGAATTTCTACCTCAAGAAAATGATAAATTAAATGGAAGTGACACTGCATAAATACGTTTAAACAGCTATTCACATCAACTAGCAATAAAAGTTAACTGCTTGGAGAGGAAGTTGTTATTATTATACCACTTTTCCTCCAGTAAAATTTCCAGGTACTTGCTACTTCAAAGTATAGTTATGACTCGAGGTACCAATGCAACTATAAAACTTTCAAAGCTCCCAATAATATAAAAAAAAATTGGTACCAATCTCTGAACACTGTAACATCCAAATGTAGCATCTATCTGACCTACACTGATAGCAGACCTGGGACTAGAGGTTGATTTGTTTCACTCACCACCACCTTGCCAGCAGAAACAATTCTGCCCAATTTTGCTAGTTATACAGTAACACAAAACTAAATTTCTGTAAAAGTTAATAATATTACTAATTAAAATAGGAAGAAAAAAGCTCCCCTCATAGTTTTGCCTCACTTAAGACTTTTTAATTTAAAATATCCAGCCCTATTAGCATTCAGGTTCAAATCAACATGAAGAGAATGACATTAACACATAATGGCTTCCATGTACTTCAAGTTTTGGAAAGCAAATACTGAAGTATTTTTAGTGCAACCTCACAGGTTTACATTCATGACAGGAGGTCAGTGCACAGCACATTTATCAGAGTTAAGTGCACCTCTGTGTAAGAGTTACCTTCGATGCTCACACATTTCCAGAACCTGTGTTTTCTCATAACCTTCCATTCCACCTTTTGCTGGTTTACCATCCCCACCTATCAGAAGACAGAAACAGCCAAAAGTAAAGTGGTACGTTTTTAAAGTTCCTCTTTTCTTTTCAATCAGGAAACAAAGAATCTCCTTCTATTGTTTTGGTTTTGTTTTTTTAATTTGGAAAATAACCAACAAAAGAACAAACTTAAAACTCTAACAGTATCCAGAGTAAGTCAGAGTAAATTCCTTGTAGCACTAATAACTTTCTGATATGTGTAAAACATGGCAAAGAGAAAGTGTGCTACTACTGAAGTACTATCATGTAAGAAAAAACAGCCTTTCTACTATATTAAATACAACCAGGAACATAAAAAACAATGCTATGTGCTGCTAAACATGCAAGTACAGTCTCATTTGTAATGAGCTGAAGGTAAAATCGTTTTAATAGCAACTCTTACTATGGCATTACCCTTTTCTCCTTACACCTGCTGTCAGTTTGCCACACCATTTTACAAAACCATCCAGGCTGCTACTTACTCTCATCAGCAGTTTAACCCCTGAAGTGAGAAGACTGAACCCATATGATTTAGTATTTACCAGGACCCAGTGCATCTGGCCTCCATCTGTTCCCAGCAGCTCCAAGCATATTGCTCTCAGCTTTGCCTAAACAGTTTTAAAGGGTTTGGTTTTGGAGGTCTGGTTTGTTTGGGATTTTTAAATAGCAGCAGCTAGACATTCACACAGCATACAAACAATACCTTGGTGTGGAAAGAAAATACAAGCTGAGAAAACTGTACTAATTTTTCCTACAGTGACTAAAACAAAGTTTTCCTTTAGAAAAAACCCTTCCATAAAGTAGCTTCTCTCTTCATTCTGTGACACATGTGTGTCACCTCCTAGTCTGAAATCTCCAATTTGAGCACACACCGAGACTTACAGACACTCTCAGGTAAAAGTGATATTGCCAATTACACATTCAGCTTTTTCGGATATTCACAGAATTCCATAATAAGCAAGCTTTCTCCAACTTGAGACCTACTGGAAAACTGACTCCCATTTTTCTTTTTAAATATTAATGGGTAACTGAACAACTGAAAATTGACAAGGCACTCAGCCACGTCATGTTCAGAGAAATTAAACCAGAGAAAAAACAGTGTGATGGGCATTACTGAGGTAAGAATTCAAATGAGGTACAGCCACTTACTGACAACGGGAAGGGAGATCAAAGGTGACAATTAAAATCTTAACCCAAAAACGAACCGTATTTCTGCTCAAAGACAGAAGTTATTTTCTCACTGAAAATTACTTTGTACTAACTTGTCAGATGCTGAATATAAGCAGATTCATTTTTCAGCTCCTCTTGCCTTCGCTTTGATACTCTCACGGCTCGTTGCTGAAGAAGGGCATGTACAGCCCATTCCTGCTCATTAATGTCCTTCAGCTGCAATACAGTAAACACTAATCAGTATTTCAATTGATTTAAATCTCACAAGAATGAATGAAAACCGATTTCCATGGGTTTTTTGTACAGCTGTGAAATTAGAACACAAGTATCATAGATTGACAAATAAGTTCCTGGTCATGGGAGTTTTTCAGGCTGAAAACACCAACTACATGCTAGTTACACATCAAGGACTAAGATTTCATACAAAAGGGTTCACCAGGACACTGATGGCGTCCCTTGTTTTATTTCAGTTTGCTTTTGAGGCACTAGCCATTGAAGAAAATGTGTTCACTAACTAACATCTCTTTAGAGCTACCTGAAGAAATTCACAACTGCAAAGTCACAGAAAATTAAATTTAAACTAAATTTGATTCTGATAGAACTGATTTTTAAGTGGGTGGTATCTCTCTTTTTCACTGACAGAATACATCTTTGTCATCTTACAAAAAAAAAAAAAAAAGAGGAAAATATACATACTTTTTCATTCAAACAGTTTATCAAGTTTTCTACATATGTTTTCATGGCCCTGTAGAATTTGTAGTTCAGAGCTGCATCTGAAGACTTCTCCAACTCCTGGACAGACATCTTTGAGCTCTCAATATCCTCCATATATTTTTCATACTCTCTCTGGTGGGCACGGTGCACATCCTGTAAGGATGTTATCCTAAAAGAGAGAAACCCAGACAATCAGAACTATTGTCAACTTAACAGCTGATGCATTCCAAAACATTTTTCCCATTATAATCACATACAAAATCTTTGCCTGTACTAACAATAGCACTTGCATTTGACCTGAGCAGCACTGAAAGATTTACCCCTGCCAACATTTACAGAAGCACAAGGTATGGACAAACATCATGCTTTGGTGCCCCAAATGTCATTTATGTGGTGCTGGTTTTGAAAGCACCACAGATATTTCACCTGGACTCCTCAATACACCACACTTCCCAAAAACACAAACCCCAAAATTACATGGTATCACATTATTAAATAGATTCTACCCAATGTGATCTGGTAAAAACTACAGCTCACATCAGCATGTCCATACCAGTTAATACAAGTAGCATGGACAGAAGTACCTGTAAGCATTCATAATGTACTATTAAATACAAACCAACCAAGAACTCTTACTATTATGTGATAAACACTGAAAACTTCTGTCTACAGGTAGCACACAAACATTTACATACATTACAACTCTGCTTCCTCTCTTTTTTAACCCTTCCCTCCTTACATATCCCAAATGTCTCCTCAGTTTGAGCAGGCCTTTAACAGAATCAAGGCACAGACCAGAATTTCTTTCACCTCCCTGAACACTTCCCAAAGAAAATAGCTGAACTAAGCTATTGTGTTCTCCTGTGCTACAAATTAATAAGAAAATATATTAATCTATTTCAGCACTTAATATGTTAAAAACATCTACAAAGTTTACAGCAAACAAGTTCCTCCTCCCCTTCCTGCTGTTTTCCAGACAAGTTGCCACTCTTGATAGCTGTATTCTTATGTTTTCTTACTTGATTCTGTACATCTCCTGCTTCAGTTAACTCAATTCCCTTCAGGTGATTAAAGCTAAGAAAGCATACAATTCCACAAAAATATTTAGTCCAACTTAGTTTCACTTCTCTAGACAAATGCATCACTGATGTTCTGTACAAAGCAAAGATTATACAGAGAGAGCCTGGTGCAAGTTCACAGCACAATTCATGTTTCACTTGTATTAAGTTACTTGTCTAAACTTATCTGAACAGCTGCTTCCCAGTGCTGGGAGGGATGACAGGGGATGGCTTACCTTGGGATGCCTGACCCCAGCTGTCCTTCCCACACACCCTCCAGGCAGTTCCCATGTCCAACCCAGGACACTTCAGCCGCCCACACAGCAGCTGAGCTGCTAAGAGAAGTCACAGCCTGGCTCACAACTAAAGATAAAGATCCAGGCACGTTCTGGACAGGCTGCAGAGAACTTAGGCTGTTTTAGGAAATACTGGGCTATTTTTGTAGGTGGTATAAGAACTACCATAGGAGGGGTGGGAGTGCCTGCTCCACCTGCTCCCTCTCTATGAAGTTCTGTTTGCTGGGCAAACGTAACATCAAACCAAGGCTCCTGCCAAGAACTGCCAGTAAGCAGAAAAAGCTTCTGCCAAATAAATGAATTTACTTTCTAAAGTTCAATTTGACAGAAACACTCTTGGAAAGTCCAAATGCTCCCCTGAAACAAAGCGTTGCCACATAAAGTAAAAAATTTGTAGTACTCCATCAGACATCATTACACATGAAAACAACCCAAAAAAAGCTCAATGTTCTGGAAAAAAGAGTAATACTTCAAAGCTGTTGTCTCATTGTGACAAAAACTCAGACAACTGGTAAGTTAAGGAGTTACCTTTCAGTCAGTCGTTTCTTCACAATTTCCAAATTCACAGGTGGTAGAGAAACAGAGGTATCAAACTTGGGTTTCGTTGGTTGATATTTACGCACAGAAGCATCATCACAAATTTCCTACAAGAATCAAGTGTCAATTTTTAATATACCATTTACTCCATTTCTCCCTTTGCAACTCTAAAGATCAGCGAGACATATCATTTAAATACTAGACATCTGATACAAAGATACATATTTCAATCACAAAAAAATCTAGACAAAACCCAATCGATTCAAGCTTTAAGTCCATAACTAACAAGGTCTGTGGATATAAATTGCTGCTGTTCCCTGAAAAGCAGAATTAACTTTTCCATAAGCAAGTGGACTATGAGGACCTAAGATCATACTGGATTTGAACATCAGTCTCAGAACTTTCTCCCACTCCTCTATTCTCCAAATTGGAAAAATTTCTACAACTGTCAATTTGGACTTCAATAAAGGCTGGTTATTCATACATTTCTAGTCTGATCCAGAGTGAGTGATCCAAGCCAGAACAAAACTTCCAGCACATCAGAATATAGTTTACTTTGGCAATTACTTACTGGGAAAAAGACAGCATTCTGCTGAACTGTGAAGAGAGCTCTCAGATTGACACTCAACAGAAATTCAGCAGAATAGAAGAATAATTTTTGCATTGCAACTTTGCAACATTTGTATTATTTGCATACTCTTGCATTCAAGATCTCTTGCGCAGCAGCAAAAAAATCAGAGCTCAGAATTTTCTTCTCTGTTTCTTATGATCTCTTATCACAACAGATACCTACCTTTGGGGCTGATATGACCACACTGCTTATCAACAGCCAGACAGAGATTACAGACTTTCATTATTATCTTCCCATGTTTCTAATCATCTTTCCCTGAAGAACCAGGGAATAACTTCCTAAAATCCTCCCTAATGAGAGAGCAGGACAGAGACAGAACAGTACGCTATGCCTATAAGCAAAAAGCACCTTCCAATGGTTAGGAAAGCATGTGTCACCTGAGAGAGTTTAACAGCTTTCTTTATTTGCTGTTCTTCCCATTTGGCTTCATCATCACTTGATCCATCACCCAGAGATACTGGAAATTAAAACAACCATTATTAGATGTAACTACACCCTTTATTTTTCCCCCGTTTGTGTTCTCCTCCATCTAAAGCAACAATGGGTCTCCCAACCAATACTGAGAGTGATACACACAAAAACCAGCAGATAGAAAACCTGTAGATGGAGGACTGCAAAACTGAAAGGCTTGGAAAAGGCTACTGGGATTTGTGGAATTCACACTAACATTAATTTCCCCAACTGTTTCTCAGACAACTACTACTGCAGTAGGAGGCATACAAACATCTTGTTTCCATGTCTCAAAGCAAAGCTGTGCATAACACATGTAAACAAGAGTGTAAGTATAGACTGTGACATTACACCAAACAAACCCTTGAGCATTCCAGAATATACACTCAACTACAGATACAAAATATCTCATTAGCATTAATTTGAATGGCAGATTCTGCTCTTAGTTATGCATTCCTTATAGCCCTTATTCAAATACTACAGTGAACATGTGCTTCATAAACAACACTCTAAGCAGCACTAAGGGAATAAAAACAATGGAAAAGCCAATTATGTTTTGCATGCAGTAGGCTTGTTTACTTCTGAAGGGCTGAAATACTGGTTTGTTTTTCATTTTTTAAATTTATAATGTCAGTACAGGGAGAGTACTTAGAAGACCAGACCAGAAGCAGGAGGAAGGACTTACAGTAACTTTACTCAAAGTAAATGTCCCTTATACAAGGCCATTTTTTTGCAGTCAACAAGGCCAAAAATAATTTTGTAAACGTTTCTCAAAGTATCCTGCACCACCACAAGTGAGACCTAAACCAGGTTATGACCCATATAAACCTCAAGTACCAACTGTACAGCCTTTTTCCAGGAGTCCTGAGGAGCAAAGCCTCACTCCTCACTGGACAAGTCCCATGTGGATCTAGAGACTAAAACAAAGCCTCTGAGAGAAACACCACAAACTCACCCATGTCTTCAGTCATTCTTTGCCTAAGAGTTTTCATTTTAGGAGCAAAATCGAGATTCTTTGTTTCAGACTCATCTTCACTCTCCAAATCACTGCTTCCTCTTCTCTGAGAGACCTGAGGACTGTTTGAAACATCCAGGGGGAGATAATCAGCCTCTGTCCTGGCTAAGTGACGCTTCCTCCGAGCAGCCTCAACGTGAGCTGCACTGGGGATACTGCCTGCATCAAAGAGAGAAAATCTAAGGAAAGACTAAAAGCAACACTCTGTACCTAATGCCAATCATCACAACTGTTCAGCACCATGGTACAAGTCTGGATACAGAACACAAGATGGTTTCCTACATGGTTACCATGTAGAATATAAGGAGATGAAAAAGTGGCTCTCAGCCTCAAAGTGAGGTTTTATTTTCACCTCATGAAGGGAACTGTGCATCACTAAAGAGGAATTTTCTGCTGCCTTTCTTCTATAACCAGTGCTTATAATTTCTGCTCCATTCCCAAAATTAGCACAGAAAAACAACACATGTTTGCAACTAAAAATACGTGGGAACCATCCCTATTCTTCCAGAAGGGTAGCCCTGACTCAGGATAAACAGATGCCCATACCTTAGGTGTTTTAAGCTGAGTGGAACTCATCTCACCTAACTTGTCATGTACTTCAAACACAGAATGGTCTAAAATAGCTTTCCTAAAATACAAAAAAGCCAGGGAACTAACTTGGTGAGAAATCCTTCCTCCTCTGTGGAGAGCTGCATTCATTTTCAGAATCTGAGCTGTTGTAGTCCTCATTCAGTGAAGAATAAGTTTCATCTTCATTCTCCTCCTCCTCTTCACGAGTATCTTTGGTGTTGCCAACTCCAGGCTCCAACTGACAGATTTCTGCATTATAGGGGAAAAAAGTATGATCAATTATTTCAGTTTCAACTGCTGGAATATGATGTGCCCTAAGTGGTTACCAGAAATTATTTACATGTTGCTGCAGCAAATACTGGTCACTTGTTTATCTCCACCTGTTCTCATCAAAACATGTCAAATTGTAACATTCCAAGACAGCCACTTACAAGCCAATTCTTGTATTGAATAAAAGCATCTTTGATGATGCTTCCCATAGAAAGACTGCAGGTCCTTCTGGGACACAGAGTGTATTTACATGCACAAAAGCAATGAGATCAGCTCTCAGATAACTACTAATTAATATTCTGATTGCTCACAGCGTATTTGGATTCTTGACTTGAAAAAGTCCATTTAGAAAGCACTTTTTTTAAAGCATTAACAATGAGGAAGTTCTTAGTTAAACTACAAACACTTATATCGGCCTTATCTCCAGTTATTATCAAATTCTTTAAAAATATTGATTTATCTTCATCTGCCACTACACTTTCAGGAAATCATCAGATTACTGAACAACAGAATGTACCACCTTTTACAAGAATATGATGTTTTTCTAAGAAGTTACAAAGAAAAATTACCATCTCAACTGTATCACAACCTCAAAAAGAATTATTGCTCAATCTCAATCTAATTTACTTTTATCTAACAATAGCAAATATGGTGTATCTGTGAATTGACAGAGGGGTCCAAAGGAGAGTACATAAAGAGAACTTTTAGATACATTTGTTTGTAAAAAAACACAAAAACTCCAAATATTCCAACAGGAAACATACCACAGAATGGTTTTGGTTGGAAGGTACCTTAAAGATTATCTAGGGATGATCTAAAGGTCATTCCAATGCCCCTGCCATGGGCAGGGACACCTTCCACTAGACCAGGTTGCTCAGAGCCCCATCCAGCCTGGCCTTGAACACTTCCAGGGATGGGGAGTCCACAGCCTCTCTGGGCAACTGACTATATTGCAATGAAACTAGGGATACTACCAGAATAATCAAGGCTATTGATTGCATTCAATGAAAATATTTAAATGCTGTAAAAGCACACAATTTAATAATGTTTACATAAAGTTTCATCAAACAAAATGCTATTAAGCTCACATTTTCCCTCAATGCCAATACTCAGATCGAACTGCAATCTAACAGCAATAAGCAGTGGATACCTGGCCCATAGTTTGAAAGATATGATGCTGAGGTATAAACTTAGCAGAACTTTGTTAATTTTGATGTAGTGCACAGTTCTGCATAACCAGGTTTTCTCAAGAACAGCCTCCAAGTTCTGATAATCTTCTACTAAGTTCAAACTGAAAATAACTTCAGCACAAATACATTAAAATTATAAACCAGTAAACTAATATTTTAAGTGTAATTCTGGGTTCAATTAACAAGTAAAAAACATCCAATAGCAGTATTTTTACATCACTCTTCATCTATTTCGTAAAATATTTAACTAAAAAAGTACTTACTTTTGCTTTCTTCAGCTTCTGTCTGTGCAGGCAATAGGCTTTCCTTCTTTTTAATTCTAAAGGTTACTTCATTGAAGGATGGTTTTTTAACTTTAAAAAACTCTTCACCTACCAGATAAAACAAAGTGACTCTGAGTAACATTAATAAAGCCAACAATATACACACATATATGTATGTGCTACATATAAAAGTGCATGTAAACAAGACCATGGCATTACAGGCTATGTCCAGTCTTTCAGTTCTGGCTGGATTAATTCTAAATATTACTGCAGCTTTATCACTCATGATCAATCACCTCTTAGTTACAAACTGTGCAACTCAGCCTCCTCAGCACAGCAATACTGTACTGCTGAAATGCAGGGTCTCTTTCTACGTACCCAAGGTGGGTACGTCTCCTCATCAACCACAACAGTAACAGCCTAGAAGTGTCAATTAAACACTTAAGTTTCCTTTATTTAAGCTTGTTCATCATTAACTAGTCACGGAATCACACAGTACTTGTTCTCTCTGTTTTTCTCCAGCTGTAAGAAGATTGCAGATGCTTTCCAGCCGAAAGAATGTGGACATAAATAATTATTAAAGTACTTTTCACAGAATCACAGAATTGTTAGGGACTCTGGAGATCACCTTGGCCAATCCCTCTGCCAGGGCAGGGTCACCTGGAGTAGGTGAGACAGGGATGTGTCCAGGTGGGCTTGAAATGTCTCCAGGGAGGGAAACTCCACGCCCTCCCTCAGCAGCTGTTCCAGTGCTCTGCCACCCTTGATGTAAAAAAGTTCTTCCTTGTGCTGAAGTGGAACTTCTTGTGTTCTAATCTATAGCCACTGCTCCTCATCCTATTGCTGGGCATCACTGAAGAGAGTCGGGCACCATTCTCTTGGCACCCGCGTTTGCGATATTTACATGGGCTGATGAGAACTCTCTCTGTCTTCTCCAGACTAACCAGGCCCAGCCCATACTTTAGTACGGGTTTATGGCGCAAACCCTCCCAAGAGGCCCTCCCCTGACACGGCACGGCGCGGTGTCTACAGCGAGGGGCAGGAGGGTGCCCAGCGCGGGGCTCGCTGAGGCGGGAGCCCAAGGCAGCCCGGTCCCGGAGCCCCGGCCCTGCTCCGCGGGACACAGACACACACACATACAGACACACACACATATACATATACACACATATACATATACACACATATACATACACACACATATACATACACACACACACGACCCCTCCTCACCTTCCCGCTCCTCCTCACTGCCAAAGCTCAGCAGCTCCTTCCCGGCCCGGCCCGGTCCCCCTGCGGCTCCGGCTCGCCGCTGCCCCGGGCCCGGGCCTGCCCCTGCTCTGTGGGCCGGCTCCTCCCCAGGGGAATCGCCCCCGGCCTCCGAGGGCTCCGCTTCCCGCTCTGAGGGTGAGCTGGCGCCGGAGTGTGGGGACGGGACTGGGGACGGGGCTGGGGCCGGCTCCGCCCGCACCTCCGGCTCGTCCTCGCTGCCGCTGGAGGCTGCGCGCCGCCGGCCGCGGAAATTGCGGGGGGGACGGCGGAACATGGCTCCGGGGATGGCACCCGGGAATGACTCCCGGGAATCAATCGCTCCCGGGAAGTTGGACCGGCGCGATTCCCAACGTGGATCCCGGCGCGCACGCGCGGCGACCCCAGCGCGCCCCGCCCGCGGATGGGCGGGAGCTCGGGAGGGACGGAGGATGGAGCGGGGGAAAGGGAAGGTGTATAAAAAGTAAAAGGCGTTTTTTTGGTGATTTATTGATGCCTAAAAATATAACTTGTTTCGTGAGCCGTGAGCCCATCAGTGCACGGGCTGCCGTGCTGGGTGGGTGTTCCCCCTCCGCCGCAGTGCCATCGAAAACTTATGGAGTTCTGGTACTATATAATTTATAAATAATATATAATGATATATTCTTTCAATATGCATAAGTTATATGTAAATTATATGGCGATAATTAGTAATGAATATTTATAAACTTTCGTGATTGCTATGTATTATGTAAATGAATAGTAAACTGAAATGTGATTACTAATGTGTAACTACACATAAATAAAATAGTTATTTTAGAAATAGTAATAACATACACTAAAAACAAATAAATGTACTTTATAACGCCAGATTGGAGGGAGCTCCGAGCAACCTGTTCTAGTGGAAAGTGTGCCTGCCCATGGAAGGGTTGTTGAAATTAGATGATCTGTAAGGTCCCTTCCAAGCCAAGTCAGTCTAGGATTCTATGATTATTATAAATGCAAAACTGACTCTGTAGCTTGTCGGCAAAAAGTAACCACACATTTTTCTCCCCTTCCTCAGGCTGAGCTCACAGAAGGAGTCAGGCAGGTGCCAGTGCTGGTGGAAGGGGAGGGGAACATATGGCTGGGAACAGAAGGAAGGTGGGAATGTGACAAGTGATGACAAATTGGTTTGCTTGGAGCTGCACTGTAGCTTGTACCAGCCTTTGATTTCTGCCGTGCTAACTTGAGCTGTGTGTGATTTGCTCTGTGGAAAGAAAGTGCATCCCACTCCAAATGAAACCATGAAACCAGGCAGAGCAAGTCCTTCAAGTAAGCCTTTGTGTCTCAAGAGATGTATCCAAGAATAGCAAATGTTTGAAATGTTCTTGCTCAAATTGTTCCACCTTTCTGTTCTTCATCTGTAAGATGAAGATACTAATATTAACTTGTCTCAGGAATCTTGTGAAGAAAAAGCTACATTTGTGAAGCACCAGTTACAGTAAAAATAACATAAAAACCCAAGAGAAAATAAACTAAAATATATTTTTTATTCAGCACTGCTTCTCAATGATTATTAAATAAAGCCCAAGGCTACTTAGTGAATAAGGAAGGTTATAAAAACTTTAACAATTCAGGAAGCACAATTCACCTTGCAGCATTATTTATTTTCTGAAAAAGGGTGGGGGTGTGGTGGAAAAATAAAGTACTTATGCAAATGCTGAAATTAAACCTGTCCATGGATTTGTGTTTAAATTGACTTATTGCAGGCTCTGATTGATTAGTTGTTCCACTGCGACCTGGGCAAAGCAGAGTTTGCAGATAGAGATTTACCTGGAATAATCCCCGTGAAGTTTCCTGTTTCTCATTTACCACTCCAGGATTGATGAAGGCTTCATTATGCCAAGCAAAGATGGGAGTTTTACCAGGAACCTTTAACATCTTTATAACAATGACAGAGCTTCTTTCCCTGCCTGTGTCTCTGTATTAAAGTGTTTCTTCTCTTTCATCTGATTTTAAATCCTGTCAGTCTAGTGAGCACTACTCAGGCAGGACTGGGCCGAGTCCTTGTATGACAAAATGACCCAGGACCTCAGCATGGCAGAAACATGGGACACAGCTGCTGTACTCCTCGTCTTTCCAGCAGGTTAAAACTGCCATGTTTGCAGTTGTCTCTCCAGTTAATATGCTCACCAAGTGCCAAGATATTAATCAAGGCAGTGCCATCCAATCCATGATTTCCCAGTTCAGAAGAGG